CACCTCCCAGATGTTGGGTACATTTCTCTGTGGCCAGCCCTCACCCAGAACCACAGTGGGAAGAGTAGTAGTTGACACAGTACAACATCATGCAGGTGGCTCCACCAAGAAGAATCCAAAGGATCAGCTGGAGTTAGACAAAGTGAAGAGGGAGGAAGTGAATGTTCCAAGCACATGCAAAGTCCCTGAAGTGGGCAGCACCATGGACCCCTGTGGAATTTCCTGCACTAGGGTGTGATTTGGAGAGAATGGAGCATGGCCAGAGAGAGTTGGGGGTAGAGTCAGCCGGGCCTTATAGGCCACAGTGGGGTTTTAGATTTTATCCCAAGAGTGGTGGAGATCCAGGGGAAGTTGTCACCCATCACAGAGAGTAGACAGAGAACCAGCTTGGGAATCAGAAAGACCTAGGGTCAGAAGACAGGCATGTCATTCTGTGAGCCATGCTGTGTGACCTCACTTTGCTTGTCAGTACAATGGAGAGAAGAAGGACCAAGGCAGGATCCAGTAGGAGTCGAGTGAACTAACCCATGAAAGTGCCTGTGTGCATGAGACCACACTATCTGCAGAGGGCCACATTACAGTCACTCCTGGCTTCACAGGCCACACGCTCTGTCGCCCTCAACTCTGCCTCCGTGGCCTGCACCCAGCCACAGACCATACATAAACACTGGTGCATTCCAATAAAACTGTCCTTGTGGATGCTGAAATTTATATTCCCTATAACTTGCACATGTAATGAAATAATATTCTTTTGATTTTTTCAACCACTTAAAAATGGAAAAAGCATTCTTAGTTTGTGGGCCATACAGACATAAGCAGCAAGTGAACTTGACAGATGGGCTTCAGTCTGCTGATTCCTGTGCTTGGCACAAAACAAATGTTTCTCTCCTTTCCTTGCTCCTTACACACACACATGTACACACATACACATAGACCACACACACAGCACACAAATGCATGCACACCTGTGCACATGTACACATGCACACACACATGCACACCACACAACTGGGAAGAGGCAGAAAGGACAGGCACATTCCTGTGTCACCTGCTACAAGCCTTCAGGCTAACTACATGTCACTTAATCCCATCTCATTTGCACTTTCTAAGGAAAAAATCTAGACCAACTATAATGTTTAAAATTAGTTTTTGATTTAGACAGTAATTTGCTATTATTATTTGAGCTACCTCAGAGGTTATTAGCCATGAATTTGAAGCATGAGATTATCAACTGCTCTCAAATTCAGTTACCTTATAAAATACCATACATTCGTAAGGTTACTGAGCAGAAATATAATCAAAACATTGTGCGCTGCATTTCCCCCCATAGACTTTACTGGAGTCGTTCATTTTCTGCTTTGTCAGCCCTGTGTGATTACACGCTGGTCATGATCCTCTCTATCTGAAGCCAGTGGCTGGATGGTAATCCTCAGGAACGTTCCCACTGGTCTGTGTGCTCCGGATCACATGGTATGCTTAGAAAGAATGTGTCTCATGCAACAAAGGAAAGGAGACGAATGTGGGACTGCTTTCAGCTCAGGCCCCTGCCTGCTGCCTGCAAGTCTGCATTTCATCCAGGTCCAGGGAGAGGCAGGGTGCCTGCTTCGGGAAGGTTGGAGTGAGACTCACCCGAGGCCACAGCTCATGGCGTGATTTACAGGCTGAACGAGGTAAGAATTAAATATTTACCGTCTCCCCCAGTACAGCTGGGACGGGGATGCCTGCATGTACTCAGATGGGACCAGCTCCAGTGTGACAGCTGGGCCGTGTCAGGTGAGGACGAGGCAGGTGTGCATGTGCGTGCATGTGTGTGTGTACATCTGTGTGCGAACATCTCTATGGAGATAAGTGTCAGAAACGACTTCAGGGGGCCACCATCCTGCCCCTTTGTTCTACTGACGTGTCACTGAAGCCATGATCTACTCAAGTTCAGTGCAGCCAAATTCCTTTTTCCCAAATGGTAAATGGATTCATCCTCAGGGAAAGGAAAAAGTGAAATGCTACCAGGCCAAACCCTTTCTCTGTAACTTTGCAAATATTGTTCATTCCTTGGTTTCTGCTTCCTCAATGTTGCCAGATCCTCTTGGCTGGGTATCTTCTGCCCGCCCTCCACATCCATTTTCTGCCTCTCTGTGTCCTGGCCCACATGGGTGGGCCCCACAAACCTCTGGGTCGGGTCGGGCTTGGTCAATGGGAGGCATGAGCAAGCAAGTGAGGGAACCTTGTCATCTCACTCCCCACTGCCTGGTTTCCAAGGGTTGACATCAACTGTCGGGGGCCCCCTCCATTCAAGTGTAGCCTTGTGGATGGTAACAGGTGCTCAGGCCCTGGGGTCCTGCCCCAGGGCTGCTAGAGCCCTGTCCGTCCCATTCTCCCCCACACCCCTTGCCCTTCCATACTGTCTTGCCTTTCCTCTACCTCCCTCATCTCTGCCTTAAGTTCTCAGGTGCTCCACAGGGAGGATCATGCACCCTCTTTACCCAGGCTGGAGCACTCTTCCCCACAGCATCATGAGCACTTACATGGGAGGGATAAGTTGTTGACACAGCATCTCCTATATGATTGGCAGCATCCATCCACCCTTTTGGGCATCAAACTCCCAGGGTCTGACAAGGCAACTTTAACATCTCTAGTAGTTTCCAAGGCCAGGGTCACACAGAGCAAAGGAAATGCTTCTATTCAAGGTCTCCAATTACCTTCAATGTGTTGACATTACCACTTACACCCTACTCTTAAGTAAACTGTGGGAAGGCCTTGAGTTCAGGGGGAAGGCTTGGACTCTGACAGAGGAACTAAGGTCAAAGACCCAGGGAAAGATGGACAGGTGTGGTTTCTCCAGCTAGGATTTTATGACACATGCCTTTGACAGGTATTTGTTTAAGCAAATCTGTAGCCTCATGGCCATTCATTAGCAGTAGCCATGTCTTTCTGAGGAACACCCTTGGCTATGACATTGACCCCTCTCACTGCATCCCCTTGAGTCTGCTTCAGCTCTCTGCATTGCAGAAGTAAGAGATGAATTTACCACATCAGCAAAATACCATTTTCAGTTGAAAGCTGCCTTGGGGTTTACAGGTTCCTAAATAGAAACTAGCAAGCACACAGACATAACACTGATAGAAAACACTGATTGAGTTTTTGTGTAAAAGAGTCCATTCTGGACACATCAAGGTCATTTCCAAATAGCGAGCTCTAGGTCAGAACTGTCCTAAAGAATTCTCTGCAGCAGTGAAAACTTCCATCTGCACTGTCCAGTACAGTAGCTACTAGCCACGTGTGGCTATTGAGCATGTGGCTAGTGGAACTTAGAAAATGGATCTTCTAGGCGGAAATGGTGGGGGAAAGGGAGAGAGGCAAACCATGAGAGACTCTTGAATGCTGACAAAAACTGAGGACTGATGGATGTGGGGGGGAGGGGGGGTGGGCATGGAGGAGGGCACTTTGGGGATGAGCACTAAGTGTTATGTGGAAACTAATTTGACAATAAACTATTTGTAAAAAAAAAATAAAATAAAAATAAAAAAAAAAAAAAAAAAAAAAAGAAAATGGATCTTCTATTTTATTTAATTCCAAATAATCTAAATGTAAGTAGCCACTTGTGCTGTGGTATTGGACCATACAGCTATAGATAGTTCTGTTCAAATAACTATTCCCCTCCTGTGCTGTAAAAACTGGCTGGGGATCCCTTTGAGGAGCTTTACTTCTCGAATAAGCTACAGTAAGAAAGTAGCTCGTTAGTGACACAGGGAAACTTCCCAAGGGTCTGATAAATATTTTGAGTCAACAGACACCAACGAAGTTGAAGACGTTTCCATGAAAATCGTTTGGTATTGTTCTCCAGAGTTCAAAACTTAAAGTTCAATTATATTCCGCATGCAACTCCCACTGATTCCTAAAACAACCACAGAAATACAATTCTTACAGCAGGCAGATGGCAAATATTCATTAGACTTCAACTTATTGTCTTTCTCAATATTGACCTGTTTGATCTCAGTCTTTGCTAATGCCTAAAGAACGCTAGCTCCTGTGGAGGTTACAAAAGGCATAAAGGACAGGACATTTGAGACATTTGTCTCAGGATCTGGGTTCTGTGAAGGTTTCAGGAGAGCAGACCGCGAAGTGGGGAATGCAGAGTCCACTCTCTGAACAACTCTGTCCAAAGGGTCTGTGAACCTCTTGTCTTTCCCTTTGACTTGTACCCACTCAAGGACGATGATGGAAGATAGAAGCACACTGGCAGAGAGTAAAGAAGTTATAATGAATAAGAGTCTCATTTTGAAACAAGTGAATTAGCAATTCTTTTCATAAAAAGTTATCTTAGCAAAGTGATCTAGCAATTGTCATGGGTTTTTGAAATTCTGCATTTTAGCTCTACTTTGAAGAAAAGAGGAAGCTGACCCCTTCACTCTAGGGACACAGTCCTAGAAGAGATGGCATTTTTTTCAGGACCCTCTAAGCAGTGGTGATACTCAAAATATTGGACAACCAGTAAGGCATAAACACCAGCCAATCAGAGCAGATACTGTATGAGCACCAGTGAACCAGACATTTGTGCCAGCAGATAGCCCTGGAATTAGTTGTTGATTCACACAAAAGCCTTCAGGGAAGAGGCTGAGTGTGATTTTAGATCACAAAAATATTTTATAAATCAAGGTGGTATATAGGTTTGTCCACCATTGATTGGATTAGCAAGCAGCAGTGTTAAGTGATGAGAAAAGTCATCCCAATAAATTTACATTGTTTACTTAGTAACTCTAAGGAATCACTAAAATCTTAACCCATTTTAAAAGTCAAATTCCACTTTAGTAAGTTTATGGTTGGGCATGTCGTTAATTACTGAGCAGCTGCTAATTACTAACCATCACAGAAATTTGTGCCAATTGGTGGAGAATTCAGCCAAATAACCATCCTGCCTCCATGGTAAATATGAAGAGACGGGCAGACAGTGAAATGTACTGACAATATCTACACAAAAAAGCAATATTTGGAAAAGGCAGAAATTTTATTCTTAATAACAACATTCATATTAACCTCTTTGTTTTAAGTGGACTTCACACCCAGTGCAGAGCCCAACATAGGGCTTGAACTCACGACCCTGAAATCAAGACCTGAGTTGAGATCAAGTCAGACACTTAACCAACTAGGCCACCTGGGAGCCCCTCGTATTAACTTTTATGAGGCAAATGTAAAGTAGTCAAAGACTAACATGAAAATGTGATTTGTTTTGTTTTGTTTTACAGACATCTCACGTTGCTTCTTAGAAATGTTTGATTCCTAAACATCATGGTTCCTTAAAGTACCACCTGAATAGTAAGCAATTAAGGAAGGCAGTACATGTGTTTTTGGGTTTTCCCTTTTATTTATTAAAGAACATATTACCCATTTCCAGTGTTTTCATGGCATTTGTGGTATATAAGGTACATCCCCTCACAGCAAAATCCACATCTAACTCATCGGAGTACATGAGAGTGGGCCTGATAAGGAGCAAATAAAAGTAAATGTCTTCATGGAAATATCCGATAATGGATATTTCACAATGTATACATCATCCTTGAATTCAATCTTATACTTAATCTGTGAGTTCTGATTTCCCAGGCAATTTTAGAATTCTGATTGATCCTAATGTGTATGCTCTTTTTTTCAAGGATAATATACAATAATGCCTCACATGTTAAACATACATAAATATTGTCTTCGTATGATTACAATAACAAAAATGTTTTAAAAGTCATGGTAGGATATAGGCTTATCTGCCATTTATTGGATTAGCAAGAGGAGTGTCGGTGACGAGTAAATCACCACGATGAATTCAAAGCTTTCAGTCAGTAACTTGGTGGAATTCACTAAAATTGTGAAATGTTTTGAAAACCAAATTCTATGCTGGAAGGTGGAGAAACAGACCCCTTCTGTCACGATAAAGTATCCATTCCGATTACTCCAGCATCACTGCTTCCCGGTAACACTGGTGAAGAGGAATCCCAGCCTTGGGACAGAGAAGGACGACGTGGGTGTGATGTAGATCGTCAGCCACGTGCAGAATGGAGCTCAAGGGACGTCTTTGCTAGACCAAAGTTACGTTCCTCACCGTTCTAGGACTGGCCACGGAAAAAGAAACCTGCGGGCGACCTGCTGGGCCCCACCACCGGCGGTCAGGTCCCTGGTGACAAGGGAAGAGGATGGATTTAATCAGTGGAGATCAACGGAAAAGGCACACTTAAGAAAGCTCCACTCATCGGATAAGAAGAAATGAAGACCCAGAGAGGAAGCAAAAATGTTAACGCACATCCTTCCTTTATGTCATTATTTCCACACACTTCCAAAGTTTCCGAACTCAGGGCTTCACGAGCTATACAGTTCAAAGATTCCAATATTTGCTTCTGTGGAGGCAAATTACTGCAAAGACGTGCTGTTCTGGTTTGTTTTCTTTCTTTTCTTTTTTTTTCACTCTTCCTATGGAAATTCTCTCTTCCATATGAAAATATAAAATATTGCTAACCCTTCTGGGGGACACCTGGGTGGCTCAGTCTGTTGAGCATTCGACTCTTGATTTCAGCTGAGGTCATGATCCCAGTGTTGTGGGTTTGAGCCCATGTCTGGCTCCACACTGACTGTGGAGCCTGCTTGGGATTCTATCTTTCTCTCTGCCCCTCCCCCACTCGTACTGTCTCTCAAAATAAACAGACATGAGATATATAAACTTCTTTAATAACACACACACACATTCAGAATATATATATATATATATATATATATAAACACACATTCCGTCTACAGAAGAGGGGCACAGATTCCCCCCCTCTTGTCTCCTTCGGCAGCTGGGCTGCTGCTTCCTTCCAGAAATGCCATCTTTGCTGTTCTGTTCTGTTCTCCTTCAAAAATGTGATCCCCGGCAAGCCACACACTCCTCCAGAGGGGCCTGTGCCTGCCTGACTGTACTGCCCTATTGAAAATCACGCAGTATGTTTTCCTGCCAGTCCTGAGAGTGCCAGCTCAAGTTCCAGGGTACTGCAGCCACCCTGCACATCCTAAATAATGTAACTGGGCACCATGCATTATTGATGTTGCAATGGAACGTCAGTTAAGTCTGGAGGATAGAATCGTTGGGCTCGCGGTCTTAACTCCATGACTTCCGGTCATGCAGGGAGAACAGGAGGCTGATGGAACCGCCTCAGCAATGTGCTCCAGGAAGTGGGTTTCTGTGGCGACTTGCCTATCATTTTTGCAGTTGTTGTTCGCCTTTTGTTTTCATGGCTGGGCTGCACAAATGCCTGGCTGTTTTCTAAATTTATCAAGAGTTTGTTTCTGTGGATCTCGGGAGGGTGGTGATTAGTGGGGAAGAGTCGATCCACATTTCAAATTGTTCATGCACTCACCCTTCAAAACTGACAGACTCAGGAGAGAAAGGAACAGAGTTGCCCAAAATAAACAGAAAAACTGACTGACAGTGAGTTGAGGCCCACAAAGAGGAGAGGAAATGGAGGGCTCTTGGTTTTAACTATTCATCAAGATGCAAAACATTTGCAAACCCCATGACTTCACATAAAAATAAAAGGTGCTTGCCCTTCCCAGTAGCTGTAATTTTTAATAAGAATTTCTCTTTTTTTGGGGGGGGCGCCTGGGTGGCTTAGTCGGTTAAGCGTCCGACTTTCGCTTAGATCATGATCTCTCGGTTCGTGGGTTCGAGCCCCACGTCGGGCTGTGCTGACTGCCAGCTCAGAGCCTGGAGCCTGTTTCAGTCTGTGACTCCCTCTCTCTCTGACCCTCCCCTGCTCACGCTGTCTCTCTCTCTCTCTCCTAGAAATAAATAAAACATTAAAAAAAAAGAATTTCTCTTTTTTTTTTAATTTTTGGGAGAGAAAGAGAAAGAGATGATGATCATGATCTCATGAGCAAGGGAGAGGCAAAGAGAGAGAGAGAGAGAGAGAGAGAGAGAATCCAAAGCTGGCTCCAGGCTCTGAGCTGTCAGCACAGAGCCTGACACGGGGCTCGAACCCACGAACTGTGAAGTCATGACCTGAGCTGAAGTCGGACGCTTAACTGGCTGAGCCACCCAGGCGCCCCTCTAATTTTATTTATTAGTTTTGTCCTAATGTGTTTCATGGACAGTTATACCTGAGTTTATTTTACTTCACCAACATAAACTCCTTTCTAGAATATAAAGTCGGTATTATGTATCCTAAATGTGAATCCAGCCTGGATAAGAATCATCAGTGGAAAGAAGTATTACATTTTGGTGTATGTCACTTTTGAAAATCACTCTCTTGTTTTCCTTTCTGACCCTTTCTACAATTTAATACATGCTCTTGGGGTCTCTGCAGCCTAAAGTCCTGTTTTTCTTTCATCCAGAGTGAATGCAGTGTGCATTAGGACCCGCTTAAAACACAAGAGGTTTAAAAAAAAGTTTTCCCCTGGGGTGTCTGGGTGGCTCAGTCAGTTAAGCGTCCCACTCAAGTCATGATCTCATGGTTTGTGAGATCGAGCCCCACATTGGAATCTGTACTCACAGCAAGGAGCCTGCTTGGGTTTTTCTCTCTCCATCTCTTTCTGCCCCTCCCCTGCTCTCTCTCTCTCTCTCTCTCAAAACAATAAACATTTTAAAAAAGTATACCCCAGCTACAGTGCAGCCTAGATTGCAAAGTACCTCAGTATCCAGACCCTTCCAGCTAACACTCTCCACAGCACTGCACAGCACCCCAAATTCCTCTCTGTGCTTTGTGGCAAGTTTGTGGAGTAGAAGTCCTTCCCAGTGCACAGTTCTAAGAAAAACCCCAGCACTCAGTAGTGACTTGCCCTTAGAAACAGGCTGTACATGTCTTACGTTTTCATGTTGGGCTACTAAAATACTGGCTTCAAAGCAGATCACCTGGAGAACATGGTAAAAACACCCATTCTCTGGCCCCATCTCCCAGAGATTCTGATCCAGAAAGGCTGGAAGAAGCTCAAGACTTTGCATTTTAACAACTCCCTGAAGAGGATCTGGTATACCACTCCTCTGAGAGCTACTGCTGAACCAGCAAGGTACCAAGATACAGGAACTTACAGGTACTGGCTGCACCTCCATGCTCAGCAAGCATCCCTTGGGATCCTGGATACGGAAAACACATCTTCCCTTTCTGGCAGCTGGTGGTAGGAACAAGGACCACCCCCATCTCTCAGCCTCTGATCAAAAGTCCCGTGTTCAGAACAGACCTTGTCATGGGAGTGGGCTGAGAGGTAGGGATGAGCCAGAGAGGGAGCTCTAGGGCAGCCAGCAGGCATCTTTTCCTGTGATTACAGCCCAGCCTCACCAATGGACCCAACTCATGCCAACCTGTCCCTGAGCAGAGCCCTCACCCTTCCGAAGCTTTCTCAGGGATGTCAGCCCTGAAAGCATCTGGACATAATGAGATATTTAAAACAGAGGTTCCCCATGATATCTCAGGTTGATCTTCCCCAAGGCAGTGTGGGCCTCCTGCATTTTGGACCTCAATCAGAAGGATATCAATGGAGCAAGAGTTATCGGTGCTGGTGCAGCAGTAAACACAGTTTGCAGCCCCTCCTAAGTATTAAAACTTCTGTTTCCTGCTTTAGTAACTGTTGGGTGCAAGATGTAATTAAAATCATGGTTGGTGCTGCATGATGAAGAAGCAGCACATGGAGGTTCACCACCATCTGGAGATCAGACACAGACGTGGACTCTGGGTGGAGCTGGAAGTTGTGTCCTTGAAGACAAGGATAAAAGTAGCCCAGAGACACTGCCTGCTCCTCAGGGCACTTCTCTGGTCCTTGAGCCAGGTGTGGGTGCACACATGGGGCTCAGGGGCTGGACCTTCCTCTACTTAAAGGAGATTCACATGACTCCAACAAGAGCACAAGCACCCTCCACCCCTGGGAAGGGTCCAGTGCAATGCACTATGTGGTGTATACAACACAGATATCGTGAATGTCCTGGGACGCTAGCAAACCATCATCACAAAGTAGGCAAGTTGGTCTTCAACAATGTTCCACTGTCCCTCCAACCAGCCCCTCATTTCCAGCTTGTTATAAGGTAGCCAATTACCCTTAGATCTCGCCACCTAGATAACTGCCCCGTCTTGTCCTAAAACTCAGACGCAGTGAGGCTGCACCCCCAAGTCCCCTGAGCCAGGAGGTCCACTGGTGGGACCAAGAATCTAGGCATCCTGAAGGCCACATCCATGATTCCTACGTGCAGCCCCTGGCCTTATACTCTTCCCCCTCCTTGGATTGTGTTTGAACTGGATAATCTTGAAGGAAACCAAAGAGCCCAAGAGCAAAGTGGCGATCTGACATGGAATTATTTACCTTTCTTCAATGACCCAAAACACAGCATTTTTATGGTGCATCTTCATTTATACCAGTCTAACAACACGTCTTGGGATGACCAGGTTGTGATTATCTGCAAAGGGACCAGGTCTACAAGCACACACATTCCTTGTATCACCCTGCTTGTGATAGCATAAGGCTAAGCACTGAAGACATTCTCCATGTCAATGCATGACTTTTTAATGAGCGCAAAGTAACGCTGTGCTAGACTGTGCGTAGGCCAGAGACACCAGTTAAGATCTGAAAACGCTGAGCGAAAATAAGACCAGCAGGTTGAGCAGACGAGAAAGCCAGCACGAAGAGAGAACAAGGGCACGTACTCAACAGTTGTTGAGCTGTTGGCAAAACCAAGATCACCCCACCGTGAGATTTTATTAATACAAAACAGGAGCCTCAACTGCTGTTGCCCACGCTGTGCCTCCATGGATAGTATGTGCATCTGCCCCAACAAGCTCCATGGAGAGGAACACTGGGAAGAGCTTTTGTGCAGGCTGACTCCCAGCTGAAAATCTCTCAGCTGAAGCTATGGGCTTTTGAGAACCGAGGCTAGTGCAGATTTTCTGCATAATCTTGTAGTCTGTAGTCAACAACCCTAAACTCCAACAAGCCAGATTTACAGGCAGGAGTCCCAGCAGGGCCTCTGAGCATGGAAACACCCAACAGCAGCTCGGGCGGCTCTGTCACAGGCTGGAGTCACACTGAGGTCTCTGGAGAGGAGGCTGGGAGGAAAGACAAATAAAAGGGCTCTGAATAGCTCTCAGCTGCCTCTCCTGAGTCTTTAGGGGTCAAGGATCACTACAGAATGGAGAGAGCCTATGAGAAAAGAAAGTACAGACTGCACTGTCCTTGCAATGGGGCCTAATGAGCTCTGAGGAAAGTCCTCCTCAGCCTATACAGCAAGAACATGGCCACACAGACCAGGCAGGGCTACAGGCCCGGCCTGGGGAAGTTCTAAAAGGAACATCTGTGCTGCAGGTCACCTTGACCTGTTTCTAGAGGCAATGGCTTGGCCACATGGCAGCTCTCAAGTGGTCAGTTGACCACATGCAAGACTATGTCTTCTTTGGGCCGAGGGCTCCTAGGCTCAGCCACTTCTTCCACCATCCATCTTGTTCCCTCCCTTCCCAAAGTGCTCACGGAAAGTGTAGCCCACAGTACATCTCGTGTCTGGGTTTTCCAAATGGACAACCTGTAGACAGTGCCTGGGCCCGCACCTGCAGAGTCATCCTTTGGTTAATGATCAAAGATGGACTCCTCAAAACTGTAATTGCCCTGAAGTTCCCCAACTCAAAGTAGAAGAATCCACTATTTAAATAGCCCCTTGCCAGTTTCTATCCCAGGCAAAAACAGCTCATCTTTCTTGTGTTCTGTTGGTTTCTTAAGGACACTGATGCTCTGGACCAAGATGCGCCTTCCCCTAGAAGCCTAACAGACACTTCAAGAAACACAAGTGTCTGTGACCATCCCCCAGGGCCCAGCACCTCCAGGCCACTGTTCTTTTTCCACCAATAGATTATTTAGCTGGTTACATGTTTAAGTAGCAGAAACTTCTCAAGTTTCTTTCCCTGCATATTTTCAAAACACTTCAAGCGCAAGAAGCATCCACTCTGAGCTCTAAAACATCACTCTCCATTCCTGTATCCAAATACATCTAGAGTTCTCCCTTGTCCTCATTTCTGCTTCAGGGGGAGGATCATCTGACATGACTTCTTCTGACTCCCCTCCCCACCTACCCCATCCCCCCCCAACCCCAGACGTAAGCACTTTGGCTTGTCCAGGGGAAAGACACCTGATGGTAAAAGGTAACCACAGAAAAGCTACAGAAATAAGGGCTGGAGTAAATGTGTTCTTGGGCGACCATTCTTGGTTCTGTGTGAAGAGAACCCCTCCATCAGCCCATGGCCCCCACTCAGATCCAGTCTTAGAAGGCTAACAGGCTCCTTCACAGCCTGGTGATTACTCTCTTGGGTCAGCCCCCCACTTAGTCAAGAGATGGCCTCTCAAAAGGGAACCTGTTACATCTCTACAAGTCATCTCTCCCAGGGCCAGTTTAAATGCACCAGAAGATCTATGTGCCAAAGAGAGCAGCCTTGATGGGAAGAAATTTACATCTCCATTTTCCTGACACCCACCCTAAGGAAATAGCCTGAACTTGTACCAGGAACTCAACTATTTGTCATGTAAGCCCATGTTCTTTTGTGCCACAGACTCCATATGTCTTCCCACTTGGCTACCACTCTTTTGGCACTAATGGCATCATTTAGGTCTTCTGATACAAGACTGAGCATCAATCAAAGCTCACCTCCCCCTGCCCACCCCAAAGGCTGGGGAGAATCACATCACTGGTAAGATGTATGGACTGAGCTGAATCCCAGGTCTGGAGCTGCCCAGAAGCCCTCCAAGTCACTGTCTACACATACAATGAATGGTGGGACTAGGAAGGCACTCCCAGTAGACATCTCAGTTTCTGATAGAGACTCATAGTCAGAACACAGCCAAGACCTCAGATCCTGAGTGCTGTCAATCTCAATCTGCCAGTGGGCCTTTTCCAAAAGCCAAAAGGGAGAACATTCATACATATCAGGGACAACCTTGCAGAATCACATCAAAGTGCTTCTGATTTGAAGGTGCCTTTGTGCAGGTCAATAAATGGTCAGAAAATACATATTTTACCTAATATGACTGTAGATATAAAAAAATGTATCTTCTGTGCATACACTCTAACTCACTCATCTATGACAACCAACACTGACTCTGTGTCAGAAAAGTAACATACTGGGTCATCACAGTTCCTGGGTGACTGTGTTCTTTATTGCTTTGGAAGGATGGAGCCCATTAGAGTTTGCCTACCAACCAACAAGATCTACCACTTGTGTTCCCCCTGGAGCTCCATACTTGTACATACACTTGCACTCTCATGTAAGAGACACTCCAAGATCTATAAGCCCCAACCTACACTTCTGTTCTTTCCCCCCAAAACCCACTCCAAAGGCCAAGAGATACTACATGCCCTGACCCATTCCTTCCGTGTTAACAGGTTGACCAGTGATCAAAGGCCATGTTCTTCTGCCATAAGCATAAAACAGGCACCATTTTATAATCAACTACCACCAGGCAAGGGTTGTTAAATGGCAAAAAAAAAAAAAATCTCAAAATCGGGAAAATGGTCTGAATCACCTGATAAGGTTGTCTGTTGCTGTGTTGTTCCCGAACGCTGGATTCAGAGGACACTGGAGCAAAAGAAGCAAGATCTGTAACAGAGAATGATTTTTAGAGTGATAAACGACAAAACCCAAATAACATAGTCTAACAATTCTGATTTAGAAGGAAATACATTATACAGCAACCCTGGCATAAAGTAATCCTTAACCATAAACATACTGTTTTTAGAATTAACCCTGAGGTTACATACTTTTCAAGTCTTATCTTTCTAATGAAATAAAAATATGGCAAACTCACAATCAAGTTCTTCCTTGACTCATTAGTCTTATCCAGAGACAAGGTGAATCCATAGCTGTAATGCTGATCAAGAAAAATAAACACAGGGCAAAAAAGGAAAAATAAAAAGATAGGTTTGGTTTGGACTCTGATTTTGGTCAAGCTACATGATTAATTACTCAAAACACTAAGAAATAAATATTCGCCCACAGGAAATTTTGTAAGCTGTGATCATATTATGAAATGAAACAGTCAAGGAGCGCCTGGGTGGCTCAGTCAGTTAAGTGACCAACTCTTGATTTCAGATCAGGTTATGATCTCATGGTTCATAAGATCAAGCCCTGAGTCAGGCTTCACACTGACAGCATGGTATTCTCTCTCCCCTCTCTCTCTGAGCCTCCCCTGCTGGTGCTCTCTCTCTCTCAAAATAAACAACCTTAAAAAAAAAAAAAAAAAGGAACCAGTCATGCTTCATACAATTTTTAAAAATCAGTAGTGAGCTGTTTGGAATGGATATGCGAGGCAGCCATGGCGAAGTGGGAGAGATGGGTGGTGAGCACAGCCTCAATTTTAGTGAAAACAGTTTTGGGGGAGCCTCTTGCAAGAACTGATTAATGAAACATCCTTCCATGGAATTTGTTTTGCCAGGCAACTTGGAAGGGCCAGGTTTACCCCTCCAACCCATTTGTACTCCCTTCCCCTCTCATCCACCTTCCAGAAGGATCCCTGCCACTAACCAGTGGACAAGCCTTCCAAGATGCCCTCACTAGGACTTTGTCCTGTAAAGGTAAGACATTCAGGTGCCACAAAGACTTTTCAAAATTGGGTTTCATTTTTAACATTCTCCCACACTCTCTAAAGCTCAGTAGGAATGGATTTCTTGCTGAGTCTCAGTCTTATCTGCAGTTTTGGAGAAGTGACCCTCAATGTCTTAAAATGCCTCCTCACACACTTTACTAAAGGTAAAAGGTACTTTTTTATCAAAAGAAAAAGGCTTTATAAAAAACATGAAAACACTAAGTTTATTTTAAAGCCCTTAAATTGTCATCCCACTTTGTTTTAAACTTTGGACAAATAGGTGGATTTTTACTCTTTACCTACTAGAATACTCCTAGTTCTTAAATTTCTTCTTCTGAAAAGTACCCAAAAAATAATGACCAGGAATGGCTAAGTCCACTGGCTTGCACAACTGGTGCTGGGCTGGCCACCTCCTCCTCCACATGCCCCTCTGGGTCTTCCCGCTGACCCACCGACCACTCACTTGCCGTCCTTGGCTCATCTGAACGGTAGCCCAAGTTTTCCCTTCCACTTTCTAAGTTTTTCTCAAAAGTTTCTTTGTTTGTCTTCACACTTGCAGATTTCCTGGAATTAGACCATTTTAAAAAGCAGAATGTTAATCTGTAGTGGGTGTTTGGTTCACACTGCCCCACCCAGAGCTCTCTTGCACACTAAACTCACCACAGCATCAGGACAGACACTCACTGCCGCCAGTACAACTATGTACGTGGTGTACATGCTCACACTCCCACTGTTGTAGGGAGAGATGCAACCTTATGATGACAGGCCCACGGGCACCATTCCCCATTGATAATCCATACCCAGAAACCAGAGACCAAATAAAGCAGGGTTAGCCAATGACGACCCACAGGGCAAACCCACCATCTCTTTTTATAAATAAAATTTTATCGAAACAGAGCCACACCTGTCCACTTCCATATTATTTATGGCTTTCTACATACTACAACAACAGAACTGAGTAAGCATAACAGAGAGCGTGTGGGTCACAAAACTAAAAATATTTACTATCTGGCCCTTTAAAGAAAAGGTATGTCAATCTCCAAAATAAAGTAAAAATTGGTGCAGCTTCCCAGGGGAGGAAAGTTTGGCAATGAGTATCCAAAGGTTTAAAAATATTCATGCTTGACCACTAAGAATGTATTCTAGGGAAATGACCAAAGACATGTGCAAAGATCTACTTAAAAGAATGTTCATTCATGAACATTTTATAACAGCAAAAGCTGTCGACAGCCTGCGTGCCCAGCCATAAGGACTAGTAAAATAAATGACAATCCATTTCTAAAATGAAATTCCAGGGGCGCCTGGGTGGCTTAGTCGGTTGAGCGTCCGACTTTCGCTTGGGTCATGATCTCGCGGTTTGTGGGTTCGGGCCCCGCGTCGGGCTCTGTGCTGACTGCCAGCTCAGAGCCTGGAGCCTGTTTCAGAGTCTGTGACTCCCTCTCTCTCTGACCCTCCCCTGCTCACACTGTCTCTCTCTCTCTCTCCTAGAAATAAATAAAACATTTAAAAAAATAAATAAATAAAATGAAATTCCACGCCACCTGTAAAAATTATTACAGGTGAGGATTCTCATGCACTGCTGATAAAAGTATAAACAGGCACACCTACTTCAGAAACCCGGATGATGACAGTATTGTCTACCCTGCCTACCCTGCAGCCCAGCTTTCACAGGTAGACATATACCCAACTGAATACAAAACAGGAATGAGGACTTAGGAACATGTCACCAAAGATATATGTTAAATTGCTTAGTGCCATGGTATTTATAATGACCCCAACCTGAAACTATCCAAATGCACATTTAAAGGGAAAAGGGGGGAAATAAATGGCATATATACCCAGAGTATGGTATCATATAATAATAGACCATCTACATCTTCACTGAACAATATGGACCAATTTCACAGGATGAAAACCAAAATGAATTAGTGCTCATGATATGATTCCATTTACATAAAGTTCATATGAATCTAATCTCTGGGGATGTAGGGATAGAGGCCAGAAGACGTGACATTTGAGGAAGAGGCAGCGATTTGAGGGGGACAGGAAGGTTGGGGTGCCAGCAGTGTTCTAGTTCTGTATGGCCCACTCAAGGCCCATGTGCCTTGTGAAAAGTAATCAGGCAACACACCACGAGTTGTGTACTTTTCTGTACTTAAACTTCAATAAGATATTTTAATTAAGCAAATGAAACAAAAATGTGGTCGGCAAATATTTGTTGATGGAAATAATCTTCAGAAGAGTGCCAAGATAGAAGAGCAAGCTATGAAATATGACTTATTATGATCCAATTATGAACCAAATTTCACAAAATGCATACATGTGTGTATCAATGTGAACACATGTGTGTGTGGTCATACACACATACTCAGATAACAGTATTTGCTTTAGAACAATAGAATTAAGAGTGATTTCCAACCATTTCTTAAAAGAATATGTTTGGGGGGCTTGGGTTGAGCGTTGTTCAAGTCAGTTGAGCATCCAGCTTCGGCGCAGGTTATGATCTCGTGGTTTGTAAGTTTGAGCCCCACATCGGGCTTGCTGCCATCAAGCCTATTAGTGCAAGCCCGCTTTGGAAACTGTCTGCCCCTCCCCAACTTGTGCTCTCCCAAAAATGAATAAATATATTTTTTAAAAACTGTATTTTTAATTTTTCCTATCATAAACATGCATTGATTATAGAGAAAGAAGTATGTTATTTTACTGCATTAGACATCTGAGAGCAGCTGGAGCCAACACAGTGCAGGGAAAGCAGCTAGAATATGAGGGTCCCAGTGCGTATCCCCGTCTTTCCTCTCCAGTCCTAATGTACTCAGGTCTAAGTATGAGAGCTGCACACAGACAAGGTCCAGGCCCTTAGCAGGACGGCCTTGCTCACATCCTGACCATCCAATCCCCAGATGGGAGATCCTGGGGATACTACCTAACCTCTCTGTTCCCCTCAGTTTCCTCCTCTACAAAACGGAGAAAGGGCCTGTAAAATCATCGTGAGTATTCAATGAGAAAACGAGCTACTATGTGTAGAGCAGCACCTGGCATGTACGTTTGGTACGCAGCATAAACCAGCTGTTGTCAGCACTACTGCCCCATTTTGTTGCTGCTGCCGTCATTATTCCTTATGCTTTCCCTCTGCCCCTGAACTGCTGTTGACCCCCGTACTGTGTTTTGAAATCAGCTAATATCCCAGGGAATACAAATGAAAGATGTTACAAAGTCAATAATGGTGAACAGAAGAATCCAGGCTGTCATCATGCTGAGAAATACCAGAATAATTATTAGAGTCAGTTTGCCTTCCTCTCCTCTTGCCCGAGTCAGGCCCCAAAGGAGGTGTAGTTTCAGATTGCTGCTTTGTGGTGTCCTCAGAGAGACTGTAGCTGCCTCTCCCAACACCACATTATCACCGGGGAGTGACTGGGGTCAAAGGGAGAACAGCTAGTGTCTGTTATACAATGATTACACACATCTTCATTCACCACGGGTAGCCTAAAGGTATTTTAAAATCACAGCGTATCAAAAACTAAACTTCTCTAATAAAATACAGAAAATTAGACATGGTTTGCTGTAACACCCCCACCAAAATCACTGCTATCTAAAAATCCCTTCCCTCACTTGTTGGGATGAGCACTGGGTGTTATATGTAAGCCAACTTGACAATAAACTATTGAAGGAAAAAAAAATTAAAGAGATAAAAAAAAACAAAAAATAAAAAATAAAAATCCCTTCCCTTAGTGCATTTATAATTGTGTAAATATTGCAGACATTTAAACTGGTTATTGTATTACTGTAGGTCCTTGACATGGCTACCTTCAAAGTGCTTGCAGCTACTTCTGGATGGCCATGGGAATGTCAGGAATTTTTCTATCCCCTCCCCCATCAGTGGTACAAGCAGTAAAAGCTTCCTAATTTGTCTGCCTGCTCAGTTTCATGTGCCTGAAGCCATCCAGCTGAACTCACTGTTCTCCACTGTCACAGAAATTCCAAGAGGAATTCTGCCTGATATCCTTGAAATGTTCCTCGACTTCCTTGCATTGACTCAAAACAGAAGGGACAACAGTCATGGTGCATAGTGTCCTCTTGTGGAAAGAGTTGCAAATGCCAGACACCAAGTAGGAAATTTCCATTTTCCTAAGTGAGCCAGGGCAAGTCAAACTTAGGCAGTAGCCACCCCTTATTTTATTCTACAATTAATTTTGCCATATGAGTTTGTGTTTGGCATATGTGTTTTTCAGAGTTGTCTACTTTCAGTACTTAATTTTGAATAACTTAATCCTGAAACACCACAGTTGTGTGTGTGTGAGTAGTGGTAGAGTTGGTATTTAGTTGCTTTTCATTTGTTTATTTTTCTTTTCAGAAAAGTGATATGATTTCAAACTTACCTTATTTCTCTTTCATAACTAGATTCTGAAAAAAAAGGAACAAAATCACATTAGCAAAATCAAGATAGTTATTCCAAAAATAAGATATCATCAATTTTTATAGACCCCCCTGATTTTAAATGCATTGCTAAGTATTTGTGACCCATTAGGTATTATTAAGTTCCTCCACACTGAATTACCAAATAACTTTAAAGCATAATGGAAGTAGAATTCACTATTAACTATCATAAACATAAATAATTCCTAGGTACCTGTAGTGTAGTAGGTACCTAATAAGTATATAGTGAATTTTGATTTTGACTAGCAAGATTACAAAGACTCCATTCACTAGGAAGAGGAATTCTGGATTCCCAGTCCCTACTGTCATTTATTCAGTACTTACTGTGTGTCAGCACTTACTTCATTTAATCATTACAACCCAATAGGTAGGTATTAGAGTCATCATATTATTAACAAACTAGACACTATCATATTGTATAGCCATACTTTAACAAATGAGGAATTACATTGCTTAAGCACTGTATTTACTTAATTTTAAGATTCATTTTCAATCAATATGTACCAAAGGTATCAATGCATGGAGTTGGACTCCCCCCCCTCCCTGAGCTGTCATTAGATTGTTAATGTTTTTAACCAAAGGATTCTTGGACTGGAGGGAACATAGAACCTGAAAGTAGAGAGAAACATAGCCATACTCCAGTCCCCAATCATCTGTCTCAAAAGCCAGTGTTCTTTGCAACTCTGCTGTCCTGTCTAGGCCTTCTACTCATCACATTTTACTGAGATCTAAAAAAAATATTCATTTTCCTTATTTTTAGAGAATATTCTCACTTACTTCCAGTTGTAATAATATCTGCCAATTCACACCCTAAATTGGACATCAGAAGCAATCTTATTTGAATTGAAAGAGAGAGATACAATGTCACTACTGTTCCCATGAGGGATAGGCTCTTGGCTTCTTTGTTCTATTAGCAGAAACAATCCAAAGGCCTTCAGGCCACACTTAGTGGGGTCTTCAGCTCTCTTCAGTCAGTCCCCATAACCAGTCAGATCACTGAGAATTCTCCAGGCATCAGCAAAGCAAGTGCCAGGAAAAACTTCTGAAGAAACTTGATGTTTACTATTTTTAAGCATGGAAATGTCATGGCCTTCATTGCATCCTTTACATTTATGTCAAGGTGAAGTGTAGTGTCCATTGTGAGTCCCACCCAATGGGGTGGGCTCTGTAAGGTTGCCACAAGCCCTGCTCATAGCTCTTACCTGGACCTGTTATGAACCAGAGGAATAAAAACAGCTCACTCCTACATGAGATTTTCATCTCAAAGTTAGGTAAAAGATAAAATCTAGGGTGGAGGGGCACCTGGATGGCTCAGTCGGTTAAGCGTCCAACTTCCACCCAGGTCATGATCTCATGGTTTGTGGATTCCATGTCAGGCTCTGTGCTGACAGCCAGAGCCTGGAGCCTGCTTTGGATTCTGTGTCTCCCTCTCTCTCTCTGCCCCTCCCCTGCTCGCACTCTGTCTCTCTTTCTCTCTCAAAATAAAATAAAACATTAAAAAAATTTTAATCTAGAGTGGAAAAAGTTTAATGTATCACTGCATTTTATCCTCATAACCAATCTATAAGATGGCACTTTTTCCCATCTTGTAAATGAGAATGCCAAGAATCAGACAGGCCCCTTGTCGCACATCTTACCTGGGCCACCAACCATCACAGCCTTCTTATTAGGCTATTTGGAACAGGCAAAAAACAGCTTAGGAGAAGCAGGAATCCAAATAACCAGAATGTTCCTCCCACAACACCACAGTAGCTAATGTTGAAAATAGTAATCTGAAGGCACTGAACAATCCTGGTCACTTCCAAATTAAATTTTAAGCTATCCAATCATTTTCATTTAAAAGCCGGTGTGTTTTACTTGAGTAATCTGTTTGTGGCATGTAGGGTAACTCCCCAGTAAAGCAAATTCCCATCAAATCTGGGCCAGCAGAGGCTTACTACTTTTCATGTTGTTTCCTAGAGAATAAAGTTGTATCACAGAATTAATTCCCAATCCTGAACCAAATCCATAAAGGGGCTAAGGCTAGACAATTAGCTTAGATAAGGCTTAACTATGCACTTTATATAGAATATCTAAGAGAGATAGTCCATATAAGATAATTAACACAGTGTCTAGCACACCCACAAAAAGTGCTCATCGAATGGCAATTATTACTAATAACATTTTAAATACAATGAAACTGATGCACAGCTGAATATCAGAAGTCTGATTTTAAGAAAAATAGCTTAACTGTAGAGAATATTCAAATAGGCGTAGGTGAGGTTTTATGAGACAAAGAAAGGTGAGGCTGGACACGCACATTCAGCACTTAGAAAGTCCTGGGCCACTCACATGACAAAGATCCTTTGATTTCTGCAGTCACAAATGGCTGAACCCCTTGACAAGCCCACCCTAATGTTGGTGAGCCCACTGCAATGTGAAGCCCGACCCCCAAACAAGGCCACTGCTCTCATGTATCTTGGAGTCCTCAAAAGACTTCATTCAGAAGAAATGTGTAATTATTTTTATTAAGTTTATTTGTATTATTTTTATTGACATACTTTCTTTTTCTTCCCACCACTGCAACAACACTCGCCTCACAATTCAGAATTGCACAAAATGGGAAATCATCTTTTCATGTGCTCCGATAGGTAGGCATTATTCTAGATAAAAGCACAGCATCTAAATGCTGGATTACAATGCCCTTCTATCCTTGCAAATAAGCATGGAACTCAAATACTGTCTCTTCACCCTCTCAAAAGTGTGAAGATCTCAGTCTTCCCGGGAGGGGTTATGACTGGCCCCAAAGGAATGTATTCCTTCTTCATAAAATCCTTTGCTTCTCTGAAGCCCACTTCCAAATAAAGTGCACTCCAAAGGCCAAAGCACCTTATGAAAGAGCTAAGGAGCTAATGACCTACAAGTGTTTGTACCAAACGTTCAAAAAGATACACAAATCTATATGAACAAAAAAATTACCTTTTTTCTCTCTCCTGGAGACACAACAACAGCAGATTATTACAATCAGAACAATTATCAGGATCAAAAGCAATGAAAATGATACTGCAAGCAGAATTATGGCCCAGGTAGGCAATGATGTACCTGCTTTATCAATGCTGCCTATAAAGTCGAAAGGAGAAAAAAAATTATTTAGTGATGTTTGCTACTGTATAGGGTTTGTAATTGCTATTTCTGCCACCCTGTTTAGATTTTGTTTGTTTAGTTAGATTTTGTTTTCCAGTAATATTATAACCATTTGGCCATTAAAGCTGGGTGTCAAAGGCCAACTTCTCTTCACTGTGCTCGGATAGTCAATACTCTACAGGATCTTCATTACAATACTTACTGCTGCCAATAAGTACTTGCTGAGTAACACAGCCCCAGTATTTGTCAGTTAGTGTCTCTACCATTCCTGGAAAGTAGAGCAGGCAGCGCAGGGAGACCGCTCCCAGGTTGGAGGAGTGATTTCCTCTCTCCAACACCCTTTATTTAGCCAAGGAATATTTACTGAGCAGCTACTGCTGGACAAAACTGCAAGACCAGCATTTGGTTCTCCCTTCCATGTTCCCACCCATCAAGGGTCCAGAGCCCAGAAAAAATGAGGACAAACTGAAGAAGAGTCATGTCTAAGGGATTGTACTGCAAGGGTCTTCAGCCCCAGCTCACCCACACCTCGCCCACAGAATTCATTCTTCATCTGTTCATTGCTGTTTTCCATGTTTTCCACCGTCCTTTTTTTCCCTTTTTTTTCTTTTTACAAATAGTTTATTGTCAAGTTGCTTTCCATATAACACCCAGTGCTCATCCCCACAAGTGCCCTCCCCCATGCCCATCTCCCCCCTCGCCCCCTCACCCATCAGTCCTCAGTTTGTTCTCAGCATTCAAGAGTCTCTCATGGTTTGCCTCCCTCCTTCTCCCCCACTATTTCCCCCCTTCTTCTCCCCCACGGTCCTCCTTTAAGTTCCTCCTAATCCTCCTATACATGCAAACATATGGTATTTGTCCTTCTCTATGTGACTTATTTCGCTCAGCATAACACCCTCAAGGTCCATCCATGTTGCTACACATGGCCAGATTTCATTGTTTCTCATTGCCATGTAGTATTCCATCGTATAGATAAACCACATCTTCTTGATCCATTCGTCCGTTGATGGACACTTAGGCTCTTTCCATGATTTGGCTATCGTTGAGAGTGCTGCTATGAACATTGGGGTCCATGTGCCCCTATGCATCAGCACTCCTGTATCCCTTGGGTAAATTCCTAGCAGCGCTTTTGCTGGGTCATAGGGGGTTTCTATTGTTAATTTTTTGAGGAACCTCCACACTGTTTTCCAGAGGGGCTGTACCAGTTTACATTCCCACCAACAGTGTAGGAGGGTGCCCGTTTCTCCATATCCTCGCCAGCATCTAGAGTTCGTTGATTTGCTCATTTTAGCCACTCTAACTGAGAGCCACTGTCCTTAATGTCTGCTTTGCTCTCTCATTGCATCCAATAGTCATGGATTTGGGAAAGAGAACGGATAGGCAAGGCAGTGGCAGCAGAGAGTGAAAGGAAGTAGGAGAGAAGGGAAGAGAGAAGAGAAAGCCATTTTGATGTAGTCCAGCCCTGTCTTAGCCTAAGCTGTCCACCATACTTCATACAGTTATCTAAACTCAAATTAAATTAAGCATAATTATATACAATTAAATACTCAGCACCTCAATCACACTGGCCACATTTCAAGTGCTCCATTCTCACAGGTGCAGAACATGGCCCTCATCACAGGAAATCCCATTGGACTGCACCAAGCAGCCATGGGCTTTGAAGAACTGTACCCATGTTCTGAAGAGAGCTCTTACCCACATTGCATTTCCTTCCCCTGAATCACATTGAGGTCAAACCACATTTAAGTCGATCTGTTCAAATGTGAATTGCTCTTCAATAAAGTCTGTCACTCAACCCTGAGTGTTTGGTTGGATTCTCATTGTAAATGAATGCTATTTTATTAAATGCAAGTCATTAGGAAAATATTAAAACAATAACTTCCTATGAAGGAAGATAGGGTTTGTTTTTAAATCAACTGACTTTCCAGTACTTTGGAACCAGAGGTTATAGTGGGAAAACAGTTCTTGGGTGTTTTTATTTAGTGTTTTCCATGAAAGTTGACCTTGAAATCATAATTTGCTAATCCTGTGTCAAAGTTAAATGCTCAGAGTACCTTGCAGGAATGGTTAAGATGATCACTAATGCCCTAGTTTCTACAATCATCAACCATCTGGATTCTGACTCATGGACAAGTAAGGATTCCACTGCAAAATAATGCATGGACTGATCTCAAAGCACATGCTAAAATTCAGAGAACCCTGTGCTTTGAAGAATTACATAATACAAAAAGGTTGTCTTCTGTTCTCTGTGCAAAGCCTCTCTGCATTACCTGTGATCAGTTTTGTAATTTCCTTTTTCTTATACATCTCCCATTCATTGCCACCATGAATGTTTGTGAAATTGACTGCTTTCACTTCCAGTTCTTCTTACACATCTACTACTATCTAAACTAAACTTAGTCCCCTCAAGGTCAAGGACTGTGTCTTATTTTTCTTATACCCCAAGCACCTGGTATATATTGGGCATATTGGATGGATGGATAGGTGGATGGATGGATGGATGGATGGATGGATGGATGGATGGATGGATAGATAATGGATCCCCACATCATCCACCATTTTTCTGAAATGAACTGAGACAGATAGAGATAGAAAAGAGTTCCCCAGAAAAGGCAGAGTTGGTAGGGTCAGAATTCTACCCTTCCCATACCACCCCTCCTCAGCCCCAGAATTGGAGCTTTAAAATAAACAAGTCTCTTCCCATCCAAAGAGTAGCACAGGTTGTCCACTTGATGCACAGAGAGCAGAATCCCAGGCATCACCTGGACGTCTTGCTGCACATGCAAATACAGAGCCCGCCTCCAGTGGTGCCAAGTCAGGGGGTCTGGAATGGCATCCCAGGTGACTCTGATACAGGTGGTTGTGACTCACACTTTGAAAATACCAAAATGGAAACATTCCTAAGCAACTTGCCACACGACAGGATGCTCCAGCTAACAGATGTGATACAAGTAATAATAATAATAATAAGTCCAAAACCACATGTATGATAATCACAGTCTAGAGTTTAAACTCAGAACACCATAAGGAAGCTTTGCAATTGACAACGAGCTTTGGGCTTCATGTCAGTGGATCCAGTGAAATCTCATGGCCACTATTTATTTGTATTCCTTCTGATGACTGGCTCACTCATCCACAATTCCTGCTCCCATCCTCCCAGGCTGGTCAGAGGCTCAGGATGCATGTCAAAGTGCTGAGAACACTGTAGGATGCAACACACACGTTCAGGATTGCTGATGTCATCCTAAATCGGCATGATGAACTTTTTACCAATTTAAATTTGCAAATACGAGAAGCTTTCATAAGGGAGCCAGCTGATGTTAAACATTTAAGATGTGGATCAAGATTCAAGAGGTGGGTGGGGCACCTGGGTGGCTCAGTCAGTTAAGCATCTGAGACTCTTGATCTCAACTCAGGTCTTGATCTCACGGTGGTTAGTGCAAGCCCCGTGTTCAAGCTCCGTGTCCAGCGTGGAGCCTCCTTAAAAGAATCAAGAGATAGGCTTGAAATTCACACTGGTAAAGTCAACACACATTTGTTGACTTCCTCAAACATTCCGTATCAGGGCGTTTTCCTCCCCTGATGGAGAAAATGATCAGTTTGCCAAGCCTCTTTTAACCAAGTCTTGACCTGAGAACCTTTTCTCTGATCTAGCACTGAAATGGCTGCTTATCCCCCAGGAAGGACTTATTTAAAGGAAGAGAAGGGCTACCCTTCTGGCTACTGTGATCTCACTCATTTTCTCTCATCTCTTACTTTAACCACTGTGCTCAGCCCCAAACTCTCACCAAAACAGGAACTGCTATCAGGAGCTACATGGCTTGTTCTTTCACTCCCTATTTGCTGTGACCACACTCCACTGTGGTCAAATCTCCCCTGGGGTTTCACACTGAGCAAAGACTTACGTTCTCACTCTACTCCAGTAGAGCCCCCCAGACAGCATGGTATATGCACCATGAGGAGGTGTAATTTGGTACTGCAACTACACATAAGAACTTTTCTTATTTGAATAATAATTTTTGATTTATCATATATGACATACCTATGAATGCACACATGCATATATATATCATAGAGACCTTAGTGTAACGCTTTTTAAATGAATACATTTACAGTGGATTGAAAGAAAAATAGGGGCACCTGGGTGGCTCAGTGGTTTAAGCTTCAGACTTCGGCTCAGGTCATGATCTCACGTTTGTGAGTTCCAGCCCCACGTCGGGCTCTGTGCTGACAGCTCAGAGCCTGTAGCCTGTTTCTGATTCTGTGTCTCTTCTCTCTGCCCCTCCCCAGCTTTCTCTCTCCCTCTCTGTCTCTCAAAAATAACTAAACATTAAAAAAATTTTTTAAAGAAAGAAAAATACATGATAGTCACCTATTGATGAAAAGCATGACAGTGGACAGAAAGCACAGAATCTTGGAATGACCTTGTCCGTAATTCTTCACTGTTCTGGTAAGGCGCTTAGAACAAAGAGGCTCAGCAAACTGGGCAAGGCACTCAGACAGGAGAAAACCTGGTGCTGTGACTCTGGTCTTTCTATTCTTGTTGTGTGTCCAATTTGGAATATCTTCTGGGAAGATACAGCCCAGGTCTTCCAGGAAGTGGGGAGTTCAGGTGGGCGCTGGTCCCTGACTTACGTCCTAGCATAGAATGTGGACATAATAGGCTCAAGGCGAACAGCAGAGCTGCTGGAAAGGATGCACATGTGTACCTAGCGACCAAGGAAGATGATGTCCAAGTTCAACACCGCCTGCCCTGCTCCCTGTGTTCCCTCACACAGCTGTGCACGTCACAGCCACCATCCTGAACTTACCGTACACCTTATATCTCAGCTTCAAGACTGTGCTTTTCTGATCTGCACAGGAAAGGAAAAGAGTTCTTCCCAGACGCTCTCACAGAAATGCTCAGAGTTTTAAAAGGGCACATAGAATTTCTCAAGAACAGTTGGATCAATACAAAATGTCACTAGCGGCATGTG